TTTGCCTCGCACATTGTAATCACCGATGTGCACCTCTGGGCTGTGAGCACCTTAAGAACGTGCCTGGCCTCCAGGTGGCCCCTGGTTCATGTTGGGTAGATTGGCGGATGAAAGACTTAGGAAAACAAAAATTGGAATTCTTATCATTTGATGATCTCATCCAGCGTCTCAAACTCAGAGGCCCTCGGGGGTCCAGGAATGATCTGAAAAAAAAAAAAAAAAAAGCAGGACAGATGTGAGCATGCTCACCTGTACTATCTAAGTGAGGCCTGGGGAGTGGGCTAATTAGATCACACACACTCTGTCTAAAGGCATTCAGGCTCAAAAAAAGTGAAACCAGCTGGGCTCAGTGGCTTATGCCTGGAATCCCAGCACTTTGGGAGGCCGAGGTGGGTGGATCACTTGAGGTCAGGAGTTTGAGACCAGCCTGGCCAACATGGCAAAACCCCATGTCTACTAAAAATAGAAAAAATTAGCTGGGCATGGTGGCACACACCTGTAATCCCAGCTACTCAGGAGGCTGAGGCAGGAGAATCCCTTGAACCCAAGAGGTGGAGGTTGCAGTGAGCTGAGATTGCACCACTGCACTCCAGCGTGGGCAACAGGGCAAGACTCCGCCTCAAAAAAAGAGAAAAAAAGTGTAACCTCTGAGCATGCCAAAGAGAACTGATAGAGTCAAATCCAGTGCACCAGACATCAGTTTGCAACCTCTGACTTAAAGTACCGTGGTTATGGCAGACAAAATATTGACTACCCTTCCACAAGACGTCCACATCCTCATCCCCAAATCTATGACTATGTAACCTTCCAGGGCAAAGGAGACTTTGCAACTGGAATTCAGTTAAAAACCTTGAGATAAAGATTAAATGAATGAACATATGTACAGTGCTTGGAAGCACACCTTTACATTATAGGCATTAAATCAGCCTTAGCTTATTAAATTAGTATTTATTATTTGCAGAGAAAAGAACATAGGCCTAGCAGGATCTGATACCTTGTCCGAGGTAAATAGGTTCAGAGCAGAGACAGGACTAGAACCCAAACCTTCCAGCTCCTGAGCTACTTAGTGCTTTGTCATTACAATGCCACCATATCATTTTCTTCCCAAATCTCATTTTCAAGGTCAAACTAACTATAGCACAGGCCCTTCTGGCGCGCTCAGCTGCGTTTTATAGCGATGATTAGTCTTGATGTTCTCAGTCGCTTTCCAGAGAAATAAAACATAAACAGAGGACCTCATTTGAAATTATGGGTGTTTGACTATAAAGCAGCCTAGTTAATAACAGAATTTTCTCGGATCAGAGTCTAGTCACTCAGTTTCACCCCCTCCAAATATGACCACCCCTTTAAAAAAAAAAAAAAAGGGCCACTACAGAGCCAGTTGTCATGTTCAGTGATGAGATCAATGGGATGGCACCGTCAAAGCTGATGAGGAAACAGTGTAGTCTGCAGACACTTTGCATAAGACTCTGAAACACTGGCCTGACCTCCAAGATGTAGGCGCCACCCGCATTTACAAGGCTTTCTCGAAACATAGTGCCCCCAAAACTTAGCTCGACTTAAAGCCTGGGTATTACCAAACCATTCCATAAAAGTGGCTCCCATCCCTTATAAAAGCAGCAAGTATTTTTAGGGAAAATAAACTGGCAGGTGAGAAAGAGCTGTTAAGATCTTTCAACGTGGAGTCGGTAAGCTGCATTCCAGACCTCTGACACCGGCTCACTCAGTTGTATAATCACCATTTTCCTCCTGCAGCATGAGAATGCTATTTTAGAAAGGACTCAAACGATGCTGCGTCCAAATTTAGACCCTCTAATATTGTGAATTTCCAAATACACAGCTGGCCCTTGTCAATGGGGATGAAAAATGTCTTAATGGGATTGCAAAGAAAAAAAACAAACTTTGGGTGCAGCGGCTCACGCCTGTAATCCCAACACTTTGGAAGGCTGAAGCAGGTGGATCACCTGAAGTCAGGAGTTCAAGACCAGCCTGGCCAACATGGTGAAACCCTGTCTGTACTAAAAATACAAAAAATTAGCGTAGGGCATGGTGGCGCGCACCTGTAATCCCAGCTACTCAGGAGGCTGAGGCAGGAGAATCACTTGAACCTGGGAGGCAGAGGTTGCAGTGAGCTGAGATCACACCACTGCACTCCAGCCTGGGTAACAAAAGCTAAACTCCATCTCAAAAAAAGGAAAAAAAACAACTTTTTTCACTCTACTCTCACACTTAGCACACTTGCGTGACCCCACACACTTCTGTGTGACGCAGTTCCCCATACACCAAGCAATTCTCCAGCAGACACGAACTGGGCGTCCTGTAATTCCATTTGATTCTGTCCCTTTCTACTGGGATAGCGTCAGATCACACAGGTTAAGGACTCAGTCCCACAGAACTGCCCCCCACTTCAGATGCCAATACCAAGTCGCAGGTTGTCACCGATACTTACGACCCACTAGCTGTAAATTGGGATTCTCACAACTCCCTCTTTGTGTTTAAATAATTTGCTAAGACTACTCACACAGAACTCAGGGAAACACTTACTTTACCAGTTCCTTACAGAGGTTACAGATGAACAGCCAGATGAAGAGATGGATGGGCCAAGGTATTGGGGGACAGAGGCAGAGCTTCTGTGCACTGTCCAGGTGCCACCCTCTCAGCAGTGGCCCCCAGCCCTGTGGTCAGCCACCAGGAAGCTCATCTAATCTTGTGGTTCAAGAATTTCCATAGAACTTCACCTCCAGCCCCCTACCCTCCCGCTTCCCAGCTGAAAGCTCCACGCCTCTAACCATGTAGTCTTTCTAGTAGCCAGCCCCATCCTAAGTCACCTAATTGGCACAAACTCTGGTGTGATCCAAAGGGACTCATTCCAAGTAACAAAATACACTCCTGACACTCCGGAAATTCCAAGCGTTTTAGGTGCTCTGTGATAGGAACTGGGTCAAAAACAAATGTTTTATATTATGCCATGGGGATATTTTGAAAAGGAATAATAAATATGAAAATGTTCTTATACTCTTAAAAACACTTTGGAATGCAATTTCCAACAGTTTCAGGGTACTGTAGGTTTGACAGGCAGGTATATGACCAAAAATCCTTTCTCTGATATTGTATTAGGCCATTCTTGCACTACTATAAAGGAATACTTCAGACTGGGTAATTTATAAAGAAAAGAGGTTTAATTGGCTCATGGTTCTGCAGGCTATCCAGGCAGCATGGCCCTGGCATTTGCTTGACTTCTAGGGAAGCCTCAGGAAGCTTCCAATCATGGAGGAAGGTGAAGGAGAGGAAGGCACATCACATGGCAAAAGCAGGAGCAAGAGAGAGAGTGGGCAGGGAGTTGCCACACGCTTTTTGTTGTTGTTGTTGTTGTTGTTGTTGAGACAGTCTCACTTTGTCGCCCAGGCAGGAGTGCAGTGGCTTGATGTCGACTCACTGTAACCTCCACCTCCCAGGTTCCAGCACTTCTCCTGCCTCAGCCTCCCAAGTAGCTGGGATTACAGGCATGTGCCACCATGCCCGGCTAATTTTTGTGTTTTTAACAGAGACAGGGTTTCGCCACAAAGTTTTAAATGACCAGATATTGCAAGAACTCCCTGTCAAGAAGACAGAACCAAGCCATGAGGGCTCCCCATCCAAGCGCCTTACACCAGGCCTCACCCCAAGCAATGGGGATTACCCATTCAACATGAGAAAAATATCCAAACTATATGAGACATTGAAGCCCATTCCCTATATAGGATATGTGGTAGTGACACGGGAATGTCACAGAAGCAATTGATTCTGGCCTAATGCAATAAAGAAAAACACAAATGACAACAAGCTTTGAATCAAAAATATAGTCCTTTCTGGGAGATTGAGTCTAGGACTCCCTTGAATACCAAAATCCAAGGATGCTCAAGCCCCTTGTATGAAATGGCTTAGTATTTGCAAAAAAACTACGCATATCCTCCCATATCCTTTAAATCATCTCTAAATTACTTATATCTAATACAAGATAAATGCTATATCAGTAATTATTACACTATTGTTTTTGTTTGTATTTTTTAAATATTTTCCATCTGCAGTTGGTAGAACCGAAGAATGTGGAATTCATGGATACAGAGAACCAACTGTAGTTATGTTTGGAGACTTCACTGACTTATATTTTCACTCTAGGATCTCTCTTCAGATTTTAAGATGTGAACATCTTGCCAACTACGGACACCAGTTTCTAATACCCAGGGAGGAACTGCAACTTCCGTAACTAGGAGAGCATCCTCTCTATCCCTTAGATCCCAGTAGAGGAGTCTGAGAAGCCTAAAATTTCCTCTACAATGATTCAGTCTCTCACACACCTCATCCCAGTGGGTGACATGGAATGCTGGATAACTGCAGCGTTGTTAAATAATTACCAAAACTTCAAAGGTACTCTGTTCCTGCTCAGGCTCCTGAGTCCGTGTCAGTCATTCCTGGGACCTAATGCAGGCATTCCCCCCTCGGATGCCATGCCCGTTGCCTGGCTAATTCTGTCACTACGTGCCATCCACTGCCTGTCCCTGCCTCCACGCATTGCATCATTGCAGGCTCGTGCCCTGGCTATGATGCTTCACTTACGGTGGCTAAATTTCATGCCTGGCCACAGGAGTGTCATTTCTGTGCCTTTGCCACTCATGTCCTCTAAGGCTCTGGAATAAGAGGAGCAGGAACAAAAGAAGAGCAGCCGTTGTTCTCTGCAGACAGACACACTCTCTCACATGTCCCCGGGGCCACAGGCCTCTTTATGTTCTAACTGAGTCTGCACAGAAGAGGCACAAGACAGGCTTTAGCCTCAAGGGAGGGAGAGGCAAGAGGCCACAGTCCCCAAGTTAGGAGGCCACAAGGAAAGAAAAGGACTTCTGTGAAGATAAGAGTCCCGTCTAAGTTGCAGTCCACTTGCCTGGGGCCACTGGAGGAGACGGGGCTGGGGAGGGGCCGCTGCAGGGAGGAGGGCGGGGGTCAGCGGCTGTGACATGACGCACGTGCCTCTCCTGGGCTTGAAATTGAGGAACTGAGGAGGCGGTGGTGGCGAGAGTCAGTCTTTCAGAGCACAGGATGGAACAAGAACTCCAGCCACTGACTCTGTCTCATGTATCTGCAAGGGCCGAGGAGATTAATGACCCAAGGAGGCTATGATATGGTCCAAAAACTTTTCCTGGATTTTTTCCGTAGGCGGCTGAGCCAGAGGCCAACTGCGGAAGAACTGGAACAGAGGAACATTTTGAAACGTAAGTGACTAACTAAGCCCATGGCAATCCCTGATGTTTTGTGGCGGCTTTTGTTATTATTTAATGGTAGGCCACGAGGTTTCTACCTTGCGCCTGTGCGGAAAGCACTGCAAACCTTTCTAACGGTTGAGGCTTCCTCCGTGTGTGTTAGAACACCAAAGACGACCTCCCCAAAGAGAAGGCAAATTTTATTCCACTTTAGAAGCTCACAGGCGGCAGGCAGAGCCTTCCTTTTAGTGAATTGTGAAGTCAGAGAGAAGCTGAAAAATTAGAGTGAGACCACTTATTATTTAATGATTTTTGAGAGTAGGGTCACCTTTAAACCAAAATTGGCTTGAAAATGGAGACTGTGATATGGGCGGCTAATGGCCATTTGAACTGAGACTAGAAAGCATGACTTTGCATTGCAGCTGGCTGCTGTTGATAAAAATCCCTCATCCCTTTGAACGTTAAATTTAAAGACTAAGAAAGCATTTCCAAGCGAAGTGCTTCATGTCTGTCTCTCAGGATTCCCACAGCTGGTCCCGGGCATGCCTGTCTGATGGTCTCATTCGAGGAAAACTGCCTTTCACCATTGCTGCAGACAGAAAAATATAAATGAGCCCCTTGTTTGGTTTCAGACACAGAGACATTTGAATATGTACAGAGGATCCACTTGGTGCTTTAAAAAAAAAAAAAAAGGATACAAAATACTAAAACAGATCAAGCATTTGATGGACACCAGTATGCGTCAGTTTAGTGGTGGATATTAAATAACTTAAAAATCAAACCATTCCATTCAGTCATTGCTACCATTCTCACCAACATTGCCTCAAGATAGTGAACAAATATTTCTGGCTTAATTCATGACCCTGTTCCCCCTACCGCACGACACACTTCTAATTTCTCTCCAGAAAAGAAAGATATATACTATGCAGAGTTTTCTAGAAATGCTGTGGTATACAGACTGACTCCTCGCCTCCCCCAGCTCCCCCGCCCCCCGTGCCCAGTAAATCACATGCAACCGCAGTGTGAGTTTGCCGGGAATTTCCACTGTAACCACACTAAAATATTCTCGACTTTACCTTTCTACCGTGCTCACTGTGGCCTTGTGACTTGCTCGGTATTTCGTAGTCTGCTGATGGTCGGTGCTGAGTTCCGCTCTGATGGGGAGGCCTGTTGCCTACAGCACCCACCCCCACCCGACGCCCCTGCATGTCCGTTTATGTCAACCCTGCCTTTATCAACATCTTGCCTCCCATCCCCATGCCCGCCACCACTTCCTCAACTCTCAGTGGAAGTTATTTTCAGGACTGGGCCTTCCTCGGTCCTCGGGGAACCCTAAGCATTGCCTAGGTCTCTAGGAATGTGCGTTTATTTTTTTTCTGCCCAAGGGGTATCCTTCAAAGTTTCCAAGCTTAGTATTCTATAGAATGAATTTAGAGCTTTTTCAAAGGATTTCCAAGGTCAGGGAAGCATTTGGCCCGTATGATGTCTTCCTTTCTGCCCCAATCTGGTACCTGAGCGATTTTTAACTTTCCGTTGTTGGAGAGAAAGATAAACAGCCAGGTGAGCCGGTACAACTTACTCACAGCCCCCTGCTGTACTTGTGGCCTCTGACCTGAGGCCTAAACTCAAAGAAGCTAAAAGCCTCCGGGGATTATTTAGGTTTCAGAAAATAGTGCTCATCACACCGGGAATACGGTTTCTGCAAAGAGATCTAAAATCCCCTAGCTCAGCTCTGGGTTCTCTCAAAGGCATCAGATCCCCTCTGTGGCTTGTCCAGATCCCTGGGAGACCACAGGTCCTTTGAGCTTGGGTTTTCACCGCCATCAAGCAGGGAACTTAGATTCAGGGAACCAAAAAGGAGTTGTGAAAGATTGTTCCCATGGTTCTCTTTTATTCTCTTCCCTAATCCCTCTTGTCCCGGCCACCTAGTTGCAAGTTAAAGAACTACTTGACCAATTCAAACAGATGGATCATTTCAGAGTTTTGAAACTTTTCAGAAATCAACTGTTTTCCCATAGGTTCTTATTTTTCCCTGTATTCTGGAACTATGTTCTCCTAAATATTTTTTTAAATTTAATCTATCGCGATTGTTAAACAAACAAACAAAAATGTCTAGTCACATAAGAAAACATCCTTCAACAGTTTGTTTTAAAACTGATTTTCTGAGCTTTCAGCCATTTGAGGAACTGCTCGGTGTTGGGTGGTGGGGAACAGGGCACAGAGATGCCAGGCTCAGCCCTGGAGCTTTGAGAGCCTTGGACTGGTTTCCAGCCTCACCCTGCCTGGCCTTGGGAGCAGCCCCTGTTCTGTCCAGCAGCCAGTGAGGCCCTGTGCACCTCTGAGCACATAATGAACCCTCTGATGGTGGCAGCTGTAATGATGACATCGTAGGCCTTTCCTGGCCTGTCTTCCCAGTTGCCTAATGGGGTTGTCTTGGTACCTTCTGCCTGAAAATTCATGAACCTGAGTTGGTCAACGGCTTTGAACTAAAGGTATCGATTCCATAGGCGGTAGCTTGTGGCCCCACCCCCAAGAGTGACCTAAGAAATGCACATAGGAGATGAAGGGCTCCATGCTCGGTCAGCTGTGTCACAGGATGCCTGCTTTCACAGCTCCGAAGGGGCCTGTAGGATCAGAAGTCTGAGGCTAGTAATGAGGAGTAGAGCTGGCCCCAAGCAAAACATGACCACAGGAAAAAGCCTCTCGGTGTAACCACTGAGCCAGGTAGGGTGTGACCAGCCACTTAACACCCCTGGGCCTTCAGATCCTCAGTTATAAACCAGTGGTGGTAGATGAGGTGGTCACTAGGCCCCTCATGGCCCTAGTATTCTGTGCCTCTGTAAATTTTCACCGTGTGCCCTCTAGCTGTCCCCAGTGACCCAACATCCAGACCACCTTTCCTTCCATCCGTTCTCCCACCTGAGACATCTCCAAATGGGAGTTCCCTCCTTCTGGTTCTTGCTGTCTGTCTCCCCATTTGTCTCTGCTAGATTAATTCATACTAAGATATTAATGGCTGACCGGTTTAATAGGTTTTATCCCACTGAAATTTGCATTTGTACAAATGTCACTGTCTGGGGGCTCCCTGCTTCCCGGTTTTGCTGTCTGCCCCCCAGTTTATCTCTGCTAGATTAATTCATACTGAGCTATTAATGGCTGACTAGTTTAATGGGCTTTTATTCAAGAGAAATTTGCATTAAAAAAAAAAAAAAACCACTCCGGGTGGGAGATAAGATCTCTAATCCAAAGGAAGCACACTCATGGTGATGGTTTCAGGCACTGTAGGGTAGGCTGGAGCAGGGACCTCTGGTGACCTCAGCCCACAGCAAGATGTGGCTGTTTCTTGTGCTGCCTTTCTACAAAGCCTTATGCCCACAGGCAGTCGGGGGGCCAAATCAGGCCCGTGGGGGTGGCCCTCAAGGGCCTGAGTTCTGCTCTGACCTCACACCACTTGTGCTAGTGGGAGGTATAGTCACCTTCAGTGTAAAGGTGACACAGTTATCAGATGGTCCTCACCCCTTTCTAGGCACAGGGGGTTTCCTTCCTTTAAAGACTTGTCCCATATGAAGACAAAAAGCAACCATATCTGAATTGCATGTGTGCACCAATACAACAAACTAATGAAGTTACCAAAATATAATTCAACAACTGTGATTTTCAAAATGAGCCAACTAGTGTCCCAGGCAGTCATGATGCACCCTATGCCAAAAATCAACGTGTTTCCTTTTACTAACACCATTTGAAATGTAACAGCTGAGAATCACAGGCCTTCTTTGATACAAGCTGACTTCCATAGTTTTTCCAAGTCCAACAATGCTACGCTGATGTCTGTGCTTCCATAGATACCAAGGAATTCTTCCAAGGTTCAGAAGGGAAATGCTGTACCCTAGGTCATCTAGTTAGCTTAAAAGGAGAAATAAGCCCAGATTCTCTGCCCTTCAAATATCTGCCCCCTTCCCCAGACTCTCTTATATATACAGCTCTTTAAAAATCTGAGTAAATCACCCATGTATTAAGCCAAGAGCTTTTAGGCTCTGCAGTCTACTCTTCTGAGCCACTCCTAAAAAGTCTACATGCAGGCAATTGTATCCCACACTCTGGCCTCACCCATGCTCTGTGGACTTCTTGGAAGATTCAAAGAATCGATGGAATCAGGGCTTGTGAAAGGTGAGCGTTTTGAAATTCCTCCTGCCTTGTCTTGTTCCTGCAGCAGGTTGAGGTCGGTCTTCTGCTCTCTCTACCCCCACAGGGCACCAGACACAAGGACTACATCACAATGAGCCTCCTTCAGTGTTTGGGAGGCTCCATAGAGAATGAGAGAGCCCCAGTCTTATCCAAAGAAAGGATCCTCACATCTCCCCAAATGCCTGTGTCCCTGCGTCAACATTCCCACCCACCTCCTTGCGCTGTGCGGTGGTTTGCACCTGTAATCCCAGCACTCTGAGAGGCCAAGGCAGGAGGATCGCTTGATGCCGGGAGTTCAAGACCGGCCTGAACAACATAATGAGACCCCCATCTCAATAAAAATTTTTTTAAATTAGTCAGGTGTGGTGGCGTGCATGTGAAGTCCTAGCTACTCGGGAGGCTGAGGTAGGAGAATCACTTGAGCCCAGGAGTTCCAGGCTACAGTAAGCTGTGATTGTGCCACTGCACTTTAGCCTGGGAGACAGAATGAGACCCTGTCAAAAAAATTAAATAAATAAAAACCTACCCTCCTTGTAGCCATGTTTCTCAACCCCAGCATCTCTGCCTGGAGACCTGAAACCCCATGTGATGTAAAGAAGGCAGAATGATAAGGTCGACCTGCTCAGTAGCAATTTGAAATAACGCAGGTAGTTTGGAAAGCAATCCCCATAAGGAGAAGGACAGCTGGGGGAGGGGACAGGAGCTCTCTCTTCCCTTTTTCAAACTGAAATGCTTGGCCTAGAGCCTGCCAAGGTCCAGAGGATGCACCTGTACACAACACTGTTTACTGAAATAAAAAACATCTTAAATATTTCTTTCAGCTCGGAATGAACAAGAGGAACAGGAGGAGAAGAGAGAGATCAAGAGGAGGCTAACCCGAAAGGTAGGTGGTTCTCCATGCCAAGAGCTGGGACAGGCGAGGGTGGGCTGCCCGCCACACCTCTGCTGGCCTCAGTGGCCTCACCGCTGCCTGATTCCTCTCCTCCTGTGTCAGAGAGCGCCACTCTCTTACTCTGTAAGACCTCTCCTCTCAGTTTCATGACCCTCAGTCCTTTGAGCTGGTGACATTCAATGTTGTTTAATTTTGTGACACCCACCTACTCCCAAATAACTTGATGGCTATTGTGTTATATTTTTGATCACACTAAATGTTTTGTTTTTAAAAATTCACTATAATCCCATTAAGCAATGGGAAATTCATAATCCAAATCAGTAGTTCAAAGGCCAGGTTCAGTGGTTTATGTCTATAAACCCAGCACTTTGGGTGGCCAAGGTGAGTGGATAGCTTGAAGCCAGGAGTTCGAGACCAGCCTGGGCAACATGGTGAAATGCTGTCTTTGCCAAAGTAAATATACAAAAACTAGTTGGGCGTGGTGATGGGGACCTGTAGTCCCAGATACATCGGAGTCTGAGATTGGATAATTGCTTGAGCCCAGGAAGGCAGAGGTTGCAGTTAGCCGAGATCACACCGCTGCACTCCAGCCTGGGCAACAAAGCAAGACTGTCTCAAAATAAAAGAAAAATTACTAGTTCAAATATTACACAATTATTTGCTATGACCCTGGGAAAGTATAGACTTTTTTTTTTTTTTTTTTTTGCTTCCCTGACACTATTCTTTCCCTAGGAATTAAGAACTATGCAACTTTATTAGGCTAAATTATGAAAGTGCTGACAAATTTAAAGCAGATGTTTGAGAAGCACATAGATAAAAGTCATAAAACTGGAATTTTAATATATTCTTAACCCCAAAAATAGATGGTTTGGCAATGCACTGTAGCCTCGCATGCATCTCATTCCACATGAGTGTCCTCTTTAACAACAAACGCATTGTTAAGGCTATTCTTGGATGATGCTGAAAAGTGTAATTAATTGATGACATGCAAGATATAATACTACCTTCTGTCTGACGAAGTCAAAGTGTTTTTAATCAGCCTCCTACAGTGACCATCTTGAGAGAAAGATACTCATATCTTAGCGACAGTTAAGAGGTCCATTAACATTCATTGTAAAAAGGTTTATTACTGGATTTTTCTCTCCAGAAATATCACACAAAGGAAGAAATTCAGAGATCCTGAAATATCATACCAATTATTAAGGAGATGGTTTGTATTTCTCAACACTTTCTCTCCCTGCGAGCATCCCAGATACCTGGTGACAAGCCAAATGCCAACCCAATTAACAAGAGCAGGATAAACAAGTGCCTGAATGGTCAGACGACTGGCTGGCGTCACCCTGGTGGAGACTAGAGCAAGAGCTAAGTGATTTCACCAGCCAGTCGCTGTCCTACCCGTCAAGGTTGGACCCTTTACATCCTTACGCCCACCCACTCTTTGGATGCAGGGTGCAGTTTTTCCTGAGCTTGACTAGTGAGAAGAGCAGGGGAGATGCATTAGCTTTTTCTCATCGTGTCCTTGAAATGACAGGGGCTTGCAAAAAGACACTGTGATAAACCTTCATTTCTGATATGGAAAGGTCTAGAAACTTAGGGGAAAAAAAACCGTTTAAATCAGATTTTCATCAGATTTTTCGGAATTGGTTGCTGGATCCCCAAAATTCCCCCAATTTTAAAGGTTGCTTGCTAAAAGATGGTCATAGAGAAATACTTAGACATTTACTTAATTCCTATCTCTTAACAAAGTTGGTATGATTTTGTGGAGAACTTGACTAATGGCATGATTTGGCAATGAGTGAGTAAAGGGTCTTCCTTTCCACACCCATCTCCCTAGGGTGGGTAACACTAGGGATAGGGACCCCAAATAGTTCATAGGTTTTGCAAGTCTCCACAATCAAATAATTACCTCTTTGTTCCTGCTCACCTCTCCTTTCTTCTCCCCGGGAAATGGCCTTGGAATTTTAGCATTTACCCTCCCCTGGGACTGGCTGGGGGGCGTTAGAAATAATGAGCTTGAGGGGGATAACTGCTTCTGAGAGAGAGACTGGAAGAACAGAGGGGCAACTTCCACATCTGCTTTTGTGGGCAGAGATGTGGTGCCTTCCGGCAGGTAGGGAACCTACATCATCACTTCCTGGCCCTGTGTAGGTTCTTCTCTTGAGCATTTATCACACCAAGACCAGATGCCAGTGATGGTGGCTGCTTTACAGTGACTTGCCCTCAGCCCAAGAACTTCTTCAATAAAGTTCTATTTCATTGTAATGCACTAGTAAGAAAACTAAAAAATAAAACGTAGTAACTGAGGCTGATAGCAACAGATCAGTCATTTTCTTTGACCAAATTGAGACTAATATAAAAATTACATGCTTTGCCTTTTAAAAAACATGCCTGCGGCCAGGCACAGTGGCTCATGCCTGTAATCCCAGCACTTTGGGAGGCCGAGGCGGGCCTGACTTTGGCTGCAAAGATTATTTTTGCAGCATTCAAGGAAGCACTTCAGGTTCCAGATGCCCCAAGGGCTGCAGCCAGCACCAGGCCAAAGGTGGATCTTCTGAGCCCTTCGTGCTCTGGGGCATAACCCCGTGCACACGGAGGAGTGTCCTGGTGGCCGTTTGTTAGTGCTGGGGTCCTTGCACCAACTGTGGCTCTCAGAGGCAGCAGCCAGCTGCATCCTCACTCATTCCCTCTGAGCACTTGGGCACAGTGCCATCTTGATTTGGAAAGGCGGTGTCCAAGGCCCCACGATTTTCAGGCACAAGAAACAGCCCCTGACCGGCAGCGTTTATGCTTAGTCTTCAGTTCACTCCAGACTCTGCCACAGATAGGATATTAGTAAAATCCAGGTCATAATTTCCAGGAAGAGAAATTTGAAAGTCAGGGCTTAACAATTTTTCTCACATCATGGCACACTTAGAAAATACCACTTTGGGCCAGGCTCGGTGGCTCACACCTGTAATCCCCGCACTTTGGGAGGCTGAGAACGGCAGATCATTTGAGATCAGGAGTTCGAGACCAGCTTGGGCAATATGGTGAACCCTATCTCTATTAAAAATACAAAATTAGCTGGGCAATGTGGTGCATACCTGTAATCCCAGCTACTTGGAGGCTGAGGCAGGAGAATTACTTGAACCCAAGAGGTGGAGGTTGCAGTGAGCCAAGCTCATTGCACCATTGAACTCCAGCCTGGGCAACAGAGTGAGCCTCCATCTAAAAAAAGAAAAATGAAGAAAAGAAAATAACACTTTGTCCAGCCCCTTGGGGTAAACCCAGCAAGTCCTGAGGAACACAGACAGGATTCTGAGTAGGAGTCTGTGTAGCTGGAGGAAATATGACAAATATTGCATGTCTTTATGTATTTTAATTATAGCACAAAATCTCCCTGCACTCACATTGTGGAGATCACATTTTGGAGCCAGGACGACCGCTGTTTTTGTTTACGGTGACCACAGCCATAACAGCCTGGGAAGCCTGTGGGTTCTCGCGACAGGCCCACACTGGTGCCAGAATGTTGTCCTGCCCAAGAAAGCCAAGGGAGGGCTACGTGCAGTCTAGGCAGGGGGGACGGCACCAGAGGCGGCTGAGCCCCTGATCCCCAGAGATTCCTGCCTTTGGCTGAGAGGGAGCTGCAGGCCTGCCTTGGCCCTGTCCGGGATCTGTCACCACTCTATTTGATACCTGCCAGCCATCCTCTAATTGTGCTCTGCCAGCATGGGAGCAAGTTGGAACATTCTCGCACCAGCCAAGGGTGTCTGGAAGCTGCCTGTTGCAGAGTTGAAACTGCCAGGGTGGTTTGGACTCCACTGTGTTTGTTTTATGGGCCTGAGTTGCAAGATTCTATGAGACAGTGTCTTCTAATAATAGAATTACACAGAGTTTAGGGCTTGGAGGGAAAATTGCTTTTAAGTAGCACTGGTTGAACATCAGTTGACAGCATCTTAAAGACAGCAATTGTGTTGCTCCAGGAGAAATAAACTTAGTGACAGGAAGAGATAATAGAAATGTCAGCCTTGTGTTGCTAAAGTAGAGGAAGGGGTCCTCATGGCTAATATCGGGAGATGGCAAAATACATATGAATCTTCCTTTTACTTGCCTCATCTCTCATTCCTGCAGTCCTTCATCAGGGACCATCCAAAGGGCTGGTCCTGAGTCGCCTTTGGCATAAATGTGGCCTTTTTCTGTACTTACTCAGCTCCGCATTTGTTGACTGACCTTCCCCTTGAACTTCTTGCAGAGGGCTGTCACCAACGTTTGGGCTGACCTCTTCAGCCAGCAGATTCCCATCCCACATACCCCGAGTTTGCATACCATTTTCACATACGCTTTTTTGCATCTAAAATACACACAAAATGTATTGCAAACCCATCTTGCAGAAGGCATTCAATGTGACACACAGATGTGGACTTGCAAATCCAAAATAAGACAGAATCATTGTAGAATATCCCTGTCACCTGGCGAGAGTAGGACAGATAAGAAGAAATCCACAACAGGAGCCCACAGCCAAACAGAAAGACAAGCTTCTAGTAACGACTGGGACTCAGCAATGTCATGAAGATAGAGACTGTTTACTATCGATTTGTATAGGTGTAAACACAGTATTGTGAATATGCTTTAGTCCTGATCTTTTTATATTCTATACTGAAATATACACAGGTAAAATGATATGATGCCTGCAATTTGTTTCAAAGAAATCCACATGTGAATGTAGTCAAGAGTCGATCATTGTTGAAGTTGGTGATAATACACCAAATTTATGATATTAGTCTCCTTCCTTCTTTTGAAAATTTACATAATA